TTATCATTTTCAGGGTTTTTTTTTCGTAAACAACTTCTATTCTAAACTCTTTATCGGACAAAATGGAATAGGTTAAATTTTACACAAATAAAAACTTTACATACTACTCGTGTCCCTTATAAATTAATAACTACAAATGTAACACTTATGATAATTTCCTAATTTTTATGGGACTGAAGCAAAAAAAAAAAAACAGGTCTGAAGAGGGACATTGACTTAACTTACATTTTTTTTTTTTTGGTCTCTCTTTTTTTATTAAAATTATTCATAAATTAAGTGTAAAAATTGTCACAAGTTTACAACCTCAAAACAATGAGAAATATACAGATGTGCACAATTAAATAAGTACATTATATATAAATATGTATATAAACTTATTTTTTTGTGATTGTGTTTAGTTTAAGTGATAGTTTACTTTGAAATCAATTTTTGGTATGTTTTAGTTTACCTCAAGAGCATCCAAGATGTAGGTGTCTTTGTTTCCGCAGTAGTTTCAATTTTGATATTTTTAGGTCAAACCGTTCTTTGCCTGTCAGTCATATAATTGAGGTCTATCGTCACCACCTCAAAGAGCATGCACAGATAAGTCCAAATTAAACATGACTTAATGATTCGTAAAACGGTAAAAACCGCTCGTTTCGTGTCTTAGGCCATCAATGTGTACTTACATTTATGAGTCAATAAATCATGTTCAATTTGGACTTCTCTGTGCATGCTCTTTGAGGTGGTGACATAAACCTCCATTATATGACTGACAGACAAGAACGATTTGACCTAAAAATATCAAAATTGAAACTACTGCGGAAACAAAGACACCAACATCTTGGATGCCCTTGAGGTAAGCTAAAACACATCAAAAATTAATTTCAAAGTGAACTATCCCTTTAAGTTTGACAGTAGCCTCCCCCGTGACTATTGGTGCATTCACGTGCTATGGTAAATAATGGACAATACACATGAACACCCCCTCATGTGTTACTTTCCACAGGGCAGCCCGTAGAATATTTTGATGCACAAGCTGCCGAGATGAGATAACCTTTGACCTTTTCAAAATGGCGGAGAACAACGCAAGAGTCGTGAATGGTAAAAATATGTACGAATCATGATCTAGAAAATATACAACAGATTATATACCATTTGAGTTGACAAATCATTTTCTTGCTGTAGCAGATCAAGCAGTCTACAATAGTTTTAGCTAAAGAACAGGTCTGGATCTCCATCTTTTTACCACATTATTACGACAACAAAAGCACTTGAACGAAACACTAGTAAACACCAGTTCACAAGTTGAAAATATATTTTCCATAGCACGCGAAAGCACCATATAGTACACCTAAAAAAGTGAATAAAAAGTAGGATACCACTGTTAAAGAGACCTGAATGATGTCATTTCTAGTAAATGATGTCACATATGGGTGGAGCTTAGATTATTACAGGTGGAGAATTATTGGCATGAAGTATTGAGTTTAGACTAAGAGATATAACTTCAGAGTCTTTTTTTAAAAATAAAATATTTTCACAAGAAATAAATACTAACAATATTTCTACATATTAGGCTGCACACTTACACATTTGTGAAATATTTTCTAAGTAGAACTGTAAATTCAGTGAAGCGCCTCAGGGACATGACAAAATGCTTGACAAAATGCATGACAAAATATTACAGAATATAGTAAAGGGCTTTTAACGTTTCATTTTGGTTAACCACTGATATATTACCAAATCCCAGGAATTATCTAACAAGTGTCTTACCCGTCCAAACTATCATTTAGCCCATCATCAGTGTATGAGAACGGTCCCTTAGACTGCGGAGTGTCCTCACAATGGAAGATGTCAGTAAAACCAGGTGAGGACATGCTGTTAACAAAGACTGAAATGTAGGCAACTAGATTAAAAATCTAAAAATGTATATATAATTAAACATTAGTTGTTAAACAGCCTACCTGGCGACTTCCCTGTCTGCTTCCCGCTTTACCGCCACACAGCTCCTGAAAACAGGTGATCCCATTTTAGAATCCTGATTTAAACGTCCATACGTCACAATTGAAATAAGATGTCTATTGGGCGACGTGTGCTTGTTCAGTAGTAGGATATAATCACAAATAAATCTTCTGGTAGCTAAAAAGTCATTTAAAAAAGTTTATAAACGTTTCTTAATCTTCCAGACCTTTTAAATACATTGTATTTTAACATTCGGAAAATGGTTACTTGAAAATAATATAGGCCTGTGCACATGCGCATTGAACGCAAAAGCATATTCCACCTGATATTTTTTTCTCGTAGAGCCTGCCATGATTATTTACACTTAATCTCTCTTAATTACTCAATTACACACAGCCTCTGTTCCCAAGACTTTACTAATGGGTGTGTTAGTTACTTTGCGAATCATGGCATTTTTGAGACCCTGTTGAGCGTAGACGTTATGCAAACCCACCATGGACCCGACTGGTGTGTGTACTGTGAGAGGTGAGGTGTCAAGATTAAGTGTAAAGTGTATTCCAGATGAATAGGTCCCACAGGGGGATCCGTGAGACGGTATAGCCTACGTGCAGGAGTCAGGACTGCTTGCCTGCCAACCCCCTTACTCAGCTTCCTGTATATTAGGACTGTTAAACATCCCCGGACAAGTTATTCCTCACTTTTGTGGCCTTCTTCAAAGAGCACGATGGTAGTCTGAAGTCCTGCTAATTAGGCTAACTAACAAGATTCACAGCCAATAAACACACCTAGGATAATGTGGCGGCTCAACAATATTATAATTACAGTAACGGTTGCTTTTGTAAACGTGCGACCGGAATCTGCTATGACGAGAATATAAAAACATTTTCGCGTTTTCTGAACAATATGATCAGGTCATTTGACCTGCAAGGCAAAACAAATCTAAGAAGCTTACATGTAGCCTAAAGGTAATTGGGATACTGATCAGTCTCCAAATGGGAAAATGTCATGTGTGAGGGAATCATTTTGTATAGGCTATATTAGTAAATAATGTGTGGTGGCATTTTTTTTTTTTTTTTTAGTTGAACAATGTGGATTTACTTTTAAATTGTAACATATTTAGATATCATTAACATGTGCAGTAGGATATAAGGATATAAATAGAATAGAAACAATTGCTAATTTAGTTGTTATACAAGAACTGTCAAATATTAAAAGTTGGCCTGCTGGGATAAACTTTTACAGACTATATAAATCAATTTTCATATATTCATAATTTTTATTTTGAAAATTTAGAAAATGCCAGACAAAGCAGAATAGGCCTATAAAATAGATTAATTTGAAAGGTTTATGATATTCTATATACAGACATGTGAATGTTTACGTATTTAATTGCCAATATTTTAATTGAAGATATGGGTATGAATTTCAATCAACTAGGTTTTAATAGAAGCAAAGATATCATGGAAATACTGAATATTAACCCCATTAATTACAATAATTATTCAATTTAAAAATAACAGCACTAGTTGCAGCATCTTACCCAAACATATCACAATGTAAACAATCTTACACTTAGTTACATTTATGATTTCACTGTCACTGTAGGCTAGAGTGGTCACCTGATACTTTTCAATTCCATGGTAACAGAATCTCGCAAATCTAACATTTTAACACTTTTTTTTATTTATTTAACATTAAAATCACCCTAGTATAGAGGACAACGTTACACAAGAATGTACCCGTTGAGCCGTTATTACAACTAATTTGTAGTGACATATCATAACCAGTAGGGGACACTCGTTGATAGACGATAATTCTGCTAAAGGACTAATGGCTGAAATACTTGGCTTGAACCCGTTACACTCTTTCATATTTAAATTAAGATCATAGCAGTTATTTACTATTAATTCCAATTTATGTCATACAAAAGTACAATAGCCTACGTCGTTTCCCAAAAAGTGTTATTCTGATAACTTATCAGTTTATAGTCATCTAACAGCAGATGGCGCATTAGAACAGTTAATTGATCCATTCCAGATCAGTTATTGATTGGTTTGACTGATTTGAAAGATTCATTAGAAGCACAGAAATGCACTTCGCTGTACAAACCAGAAACATAGGCTATCTGAAAGTGTTTTTGCAGCAAGGACATCCATGCAAGGTGCTGATGATTTTATGACAGTAATATTGTTATGACCCTGAAGGCATTTCTATCGAGGAAACATTGAAGTGCACGATGTTGACCCCAGTGTTTATGCAGTCCAGCGGCGGGTTTCGTAACTCGAGCACAACAAGGTCCCATGATAAAATCAACAGCTCTGATCCTGTGACTGCACCGTCTATTATTAGCCGGGAGAACTGGAACAGCTTGGCTGATGAAAGTTCCAGGTAACAAGAAGGAGACATTAACTCAGTAAACTGTGCAGACGATTTGTGTTGTGCAAAAAAAAAAAAAAAATCAACAACACGGTGTATTCTGCAAAGATGGCATGAATAAACAACGCCGTCGATTTTAATGCATCATTTTCGCCCCGAACTGTGCACAGGATGTCAGGAGTCACGAGTCATCATATAAGCCTATATAAGGGAGTTTCGACAAAGCAGCTCGTGCATTTTCAGGACGTGGTAAAATGTTATAGAATTAAGAAACATATGATACAATGACTATTATTTTTCCCACAGATGTAGTAGGCGATACTTGCATTAGAAAAAATGAAATTCTGGCTTGATTACGTTCTGTAGCCTACATGATGCAAAGGTTTCAGATAAAACTGCAACATGCACATCGAAAGCAATAGGGAAACTCCATCATTTCCATAAGGAAATTCCATCGGTCTCAGTCCAAACAAATTGAAAGCTGCTAGGTGCGTTTTGCATTGGTAGTTTTCGAGACGTTCCGCGAATCAGCCCACGTGGGGTGAAAGCAGGAGTTTCCCCCACAACCAATGGTGGCGCGAGCGCAAGACGCCTTTGGAAAATTTCTAACCAATCAGAAAGACGAGCGTTTGCTAAGCCGCGCCCACTCGAACGCGGTATATATACTCGCGTTTCGCTTGAAGTCGGCAGAAACTAATTCTGAGACAGCAAAGGAATACTATAACTCCAAGTGACAGGCTATCTGGATTATACCTTTGGACAGCACACTTTGACTGGATTTTAAGATCTCCTGGTGACTTGTGGATTATTATTTGAAGCAAAATGACCCTGGAAGAACTCGTTGGATGCAACATAACTGATAAAAAGTAAGTTATTTATTGCATGCATAACTATCAACTGCGAATCTCAATAGGTGTTTTTCTATATAGAGAACTATCCGACTGTCTCTTACCATAGTCGCATTGTTTTTTACAGAATGGACACAGTAAACCAAGCTTTGGAAGAGCTGCTGGTAGCAGCACAGAGACAAGACTGTCTAACAGTCGGCGTTTACGAGTCTGCAAAGCTAATGAATGTGTAAGTATATACTTATATATCTGACTTTCCATATAAGACTGGTGTTGCTTTATTGCGATATCACCACAAAACAGGAGTCTAATTGCATTTGATTTGATTTACAGAGACCCAGATTGTGTCGTGCTATGCGTTCTGGCCACCGATGAGGAGGACCAGGACGATATTGCGCTGCAAATTCACTTCACGCTCATTCAGGCGTTCTGCTGCGACAACGACATTAACATCCTGCGCGTGTCTGGTCTGAGGCGCCTCGCGCAGGTGCTCGACGAGCCGGCCACCGTTGACAACAGCGAGCCCAGAGACTTCCACTGCATCCTAGTCACTGTAAGTACACTTCTATTCGCACACTGCTCAGCGTAGGCAAATTATTTTGAATCTTAATATCATATGACGTTGACTTACGTTGCATTTTATTCTTTTTTTCACCACAGAACTCTCAATGCCAACCACTCAAATGCCAGGCGTTGAAGGACGTGGGCAACTACTGTGAAGAGAGCCGTTGCAAAAATCAATGGATTCCTTATCTGTCCCTGCAAGAACGTTGAACGAGTCGTGATGCTATTGCTGCAAGGAAAGGATGAAAGAGTCATTCTCTGTGAATGAAAGCAAAAGGGCTCTGCACTAGCCGCCGTTGACTGCTCTTCTGCGTCACTTGAAGGGGCTGTGAGAGAGAGAAAGCGGAGCTCTTGGAACTGTGCGCCCGGTACATGATTCCCCCCTGCCCCTCCAGCTTGTCGTGTCCTCCGTGGGAAAAGGAAAAAGTGGTCGCTTTGGTAGCGGAGGAACAAGGTGTGGGAAAGGCTACAAGCTGTGCTGGAGAACTCGCACGCAGGCGGCGTGGGCTCGCGCGCGCGCGCCCCCGGTTTCATAATGTGCAATGGGTTGGAAAGAGATGAGTGTACGTCACTATCGCTGACTGCGGGACGAACATTTTGAAATGTTGAGTGAATCATCTGTGTATTAGCCGGGCACGATTAACTATGAACTGCAGTAGCATTTATGTCAAGCTACACATGGACTGCAATCGCTTCTGTTAGACTGCACTGAGAGGTGGAACAACATGAATTCTGCCGAGTTGCATACATGCATACATACTATGAATTGTTTTAGGTTAAGTTATTTCCAGTAATTTAAACAGAGTAATATATGTATTGCTTCCCTTGTCAAATGCAACATTGTTTCAATAAATTATTGTTTGAGACTTACTCCTCTGTCTTATGTTTTGCTTTGGGGGGTTTAGGGGTGGTAGACAATTCAATAGGTTTCTTATAGTGGCACTAGTACATAATTGTAAATGGGCCATGCAGATTCACTTACCATGGTCAAAGTTTAAAATAACAGAATTTCCTGGTTAACTTCCTTGCAAATCCCACAGTGTCTTCCCAAAATTAGCCTGATGGAGTGTACAGCTATAGTGGGAGGGATTTACCCCACTGAGGTGTGAATGAATTCAGTGGAAATGTTAAGAAAGAACAAGAGCCCTAAGTGACGTGCAAACAAATCGCACAGTTTGCCAAAGGATAGTCTTTGTATCCTCTTGTCCTGGAATCAACGTCATATCCTTACTGACACAGTTAATTACAACACTGCTCTGACAGGAATGCCGACATGAGTTATTTATGCAGAGTTCCGTATGCTTTCGCAAGCTCCACTCCTCCATAGAGAGACTGCACAGGGCTTAGATATAACCTCCAGAAAATAATATATAAAAGCACTTTTCAGTAAGTCATTAGAGGTTATCACAGGTAAGCTTATCTGGTTACACATCTCTTATTTCTTGAACAACCTGTAATAGTTGTGTAGCAGAGAACTTGTTACAGTACACAGTGGCCTTTTGCTATGTTTTTCAGGCCTCACAGCTGAAGGGGCCTCCAAAAAAGAGCCCTGCCCCCTTTATCACAGAAATATGGGCAAAAATGCCACCAAAATTCAAGATATATGGGTCAAAAATGTCCTTGTATGTATTATTACAGGCCATAGAGTGCTGTTTTCCCTAAAATCGGTGCGATTGCAAATGTGATAGCCTATTGATTTCATATTACAGTTCAATAAACACGAAGGTAATGTTAGGTGATTCATTAGTCTTAGAACATTGTCTGTTTTTGCACTATTACCAACAAAAATATTTCCAAACAAATCCAGAGCCGTTGCACGTCTCTGAGCAACACTGTAATGTTTCTAAACGAATATGCTGGGGGCCTCCGAATTGCAAAGGCCGCCTCACATATTAGCTAGCAGCATCCTGGGATCGTGTCTTCCTCAAGGGCACAATGGAAATGCTAGTTCATGCTTCATCCTTTCACGGTTTGAATCTAAAAGGTCTGGGTTACTAGTGCAACGCATTAAGTTAGCACCACCACCTTTCTGTAAAACTCTGGCACACACTTCTTTGTGAGCTTTGTTTTTCCAGCTCAGTTGCTGTTGTGAGTGAACCCTGAGAGGCTAAGAACAGCATGCTAACACCTGCTGATAAAACAAACAGTACATCCTATGAGATATTGTTTCAACAAAACACCTTCGTCTTGCTGTTCATATGATGTCAATATGATGATGATTATTCAGAATCACAAACACGTTGTTGGTGTGATCTTGTTGTGCTCTCATGGGCATAGGCTAAATGCTAATCTGTATCAACAAATGCACTTAGTATTGTACAGTCACTGTCAAAATGAACTCGATATTAAAAATAGATTTATCAGGGGATAATAATAGTATTGAGGAATCAGAGTTTCCAAAATTAGTCTCATTTGAGATGAAAGGCATCCAAGTATTTTTCTCGGGCATTCCCTGAGAGATTGTGCGTCTGACGTAGTCTCTGATTACGCAGTGGAACCACGGAAACGTCATTGACCATTTAAGGGCAAATCTGAAAACGCCAAGCATGTTGAGTCTTATCAAACACTAGAGCGAAATATCACGATTCTAGCCACATTCTTGGCGTTTAAAGTATCACAATATTCGTGTTTGTTTGGATAGGGCATCTCCTAACTGCTCTCCGGGTGAGTCGTGCCCAGCGCTCTGCCGCCGGTATGCGAGGAATGCGGAAATAGTGGCGCTGAGCCTGTTTGCATAGAAGTGGCGCGTGAGTGCATTGGCTGTTTCCCACAAGGTGCGAGAATGAAGCAGGGTGTTTTTTGTTTATTTATTATTTTTTTATATAAGTGTTATCGTGATCACGGGAATGAGTCCATAGTCTAATTGAAAACACTCATTTCAATATGACAAACATCTCCAAACCGGAAGGATGGTCATTGCACTCCAGTGAGTATTTCTCAGGATAGGTTATTTTTTTGTAAATATGTTTTTATATATAGATATTTTGATACAAAAAACAACAACTTCTGAACAGAAACATGCAGCATTGAATGGTGTCACACTATAATTGGTCTCAATGGGAACCTGACGCTGATTTGAGACGCAGGCTACTTTTCTGAAATATGAAATGCAATAGGCTATGAATTGTTTTTAAACATATATCTTCCACAACTTAATTTCTTGTTTGACATGATCAGCAATCATTAAAGCAAGTATAAATCAATTCATGATAGGCTCCTATAGCAAAATGGGAATGTTTTAATTCAAATTATAACACAAAACTCACGTCTTCGTGACCATACCAAATCAAACAAAATTTTTCAATTGGTCAGCAAGGCACATTTCAAATATTACATGAATACACATTTTACAAAGTAAGAAGATAAAAAACAATGCAAATTGTAATGACTGTAAAAGATACATTGAAATTCACATAAATGTGTTTCTATAAAACTCTTTTATTAGAAGCATGACCAAAGTAGAAGTATGTACAGGAATAGGCTACACCTACACTTACTGACTCGAAAAAGAGAGACCAGTATTCAGTTTTTTTTTTCAAAGCACATATAGGCAGAAACTCAGCGGCCCCTGCTGAATTTTCCCTTCCCATAAAGCCTTGATCTGTGTGCTCGCTGTAATGACTCTGTGCCACCCAGTGTGTTTCTGTTTGACTCGGGTCTCTGAGGTCGTCAGGTACACTCAGGCTGGCAGCAGCGCTTCTTTCCACACACACCCAAAGACGTGACTCTGGACAAGTTTATGACCCATCCTGCAGGGCAGACCAAATGAAATAGACAATAAAATCATAGCTTGTGAATGCTCACGTTTTCATTGCACTGTAAGAGTCTTTAATCAGCGTTTTATCTCGCCACTATAAACACATTGCTCATGCTTAATTAAAACTGCCAACTACGAGGTTACAGCAGATGTTGACAGTCTTTTAAGAGAGAGGGGCTCTTACAAGGAGCAAGCATATTGCTAAAAGCTCTCAGGAAATTATTGTCTTAAGATCAATGACAAATGGGGTGTCCAATATGACCAAATTTGTATGTATATATATATATATATATATATATATACACACACTTGAACTTCAATAGACATCAGTTTGAATACTTAATTATTTATTAAAAATAAAATAATATTTAAAAGGTTTTTCCATTTATCAGTCTAATATTTTTATGACACTTATCGAACATTACGCATGAGGGTTACATGGATCTTTTGTGATTTATTGAAGTTTTATGGTTTTGCATTTGTATTTTGCATTGTAACAAAATGGCTTTATCCAATGGCATGGCATATTTTCATGTATATATATATATATATATATATATATATATATATATGAAAATAGAGATATGTTCATTATAATGTTCATTACATCCTTTTTGCAATGTCATCTTTCCAAGATAACAGCTCTGAGTCTTCTCCTATAATGCCTGATGAGTTTGGAGAACACCTGACAAGAGATCGGAGATCATTTGAAGGATATCTGGAGAGATACAGAATCTCTCCAGATCCTTCAGATTCCCAGATCTATGTTGGCGCTTCTTCTCTTCAGTTCAGCCCACTCATTTTCTATAGAGTTCAGTTTAGGGGACTGGGACGGCCATGGCAGATGAAACATATTGATCCAATTCTTTTCTTTTCTTTCTTTCTTTCTTTCTTTCTTTCTTTCTTTCTTTCTTTCTTTCTTTCTTTCTTTCTTTCTTTCTTTCTTTCATCTTTTTAACACAAAAGAATATATTTTAAGATAAGAATGTTGGTATTTTAACAGTTGACGGTAGCCATGGACTTCCATTGTGTTTTTTCCCTTTGGATGTCAACATCTACCGTCAATGTTTTAAATACCAACATTCTTTAAAATGTCTTCTTTTGTGTTCAGAAGAAGAAAGAAAATCATACAGGTTTGAAACAACTTGAGTTGAACATTTTTTTATCCTCATTTCAAGTTCACCTTCCACCTTCACATCTTTAAGGTCACTGAAAGTTTAAAATTAAAGTGAAAACAATATATATATATATATATATATATATATAAAAAAAAATATGAACATAAAATAAAATATGATATGAGTGCTACTAAAATAACACTCGTCTCGTCATTGACCCATTAGAAAGAACAGTAATGTGGCAATACTTCATGAAACCCGTCCTGAGGTTCTCAGAGGCCTGGTGCAGCTCATGACAAAGCGCTGAATTTAAGGTCTAGTCTGTCACTTGTTGCAGTCACGGTGGAAACAAAGAGTGGGTGAGCTTTAAGAATATGTGCTATTGTACGCCACACTCGCTGTGCAGCTGACCAGACAATAGCTAACTGTGTGTTCCTCTCCAGACTGCTGGAAAAAGCGCACGCGTGCTCAGCCCTAGAGGCGTCACACTGCAGGACAATGGCAGCACCCGTCAGTGGCTTAAAACACCAGACTGGTGACTGGAGTCAAAAGTGCTGGGGACGGCTGACGTCAAGCTAGAAAGAGTGCGAGAGAGGGAGGGGGGGAGCCCGGTAACAGAAACAGAGAGCCTTTTCTTCTCCTTGGCAAAAGCCCTGGCTGATTTAAAGTTGCTGACAGTATTTAGTTCAGACGGCAGGGCTATTAATAGAAAGGCTTGCCGGGGTATTTTTAGCATAACAGGGCTATATTTATATCTCAGGGAGTGGTGGCCTTGCAGATAAAATAAGGGGCTTCTTGATTCAGTCATGGACATAAAAAAAACCAAGACAGATTCTCTTGCCCCTCCTGTGGTTCTCTTGAATTGGTCCGCAACTTTTTTTTTTTTGCCTTGATTGAGAGAGAAATAGAGCCTTTCTTTTTCATATGGTGTGCAGTGCTGGCCGGCTGCAGGAGTGGCCGGGATACACAGTTGCCGTGCGTCTTAGCCATAATTA